TGAATGGGGAAGTAGATGGCGGCTAATAAGAACATCAAGAGGCTTATAGAGAAGATAACTGTGACTTATATGGACTGGCATGAGAAATTGCCATTTTCTCTGTTTGCTTGTCAAACTTCAATGCTTACATCGACTGGGGAAACTCCGTTTTCTTTAACCTATGGGATGGAAGTTGTCTTACCCATTGAGGTAAAAATTCCTTTACTTCAAGTTTTGTCAAAGGTGAAGCTAGATGAGGTGGAATAGGTACAGCCAAATATGACCAATTAAATTTGATTGAAGGAAAGAGATTGAAAGCTATTTGTCATGGTCAGATGTACCAGAAGCGCATGATACGGGCACACGATAAAAACGTTTGCCTTCAAGATTCCATGAAGGAGATCTGGTGCTTAGAAGGATCCTACCTATTCAAAAGGACTTATGAGGAAAATCGATGACAAATTCGGAAGGGCCTTATATTATGAAGAAAACTTTTTTTGGAGGTGCCCTGGTCTTTACTGAGATGGATGGGCTGGAATTACCCAACCCAGTGAACTCCGATGTGGTTAAGAGATATTTTGCCTGAAGAAAAAAATAAAGAAAAAAAGAAGAAGAGAAAATAAAAAAAAGAAAAAAAAAGAAGAAGAAAATAAATAAATAAAGGAGGGTTCAAGATGAAAATCTGAAAAAGGTGTCTTGAAACCAAAAGAGGTCTCAAGTTGAAAACCCGCAAAGGACGACTTGAGTGTCATTCAAATTCAGGATTCGTGCCTGGTGGAGCTCCTGGATTCATTGTAAAGATTAAAGTGTTCTTGGGTTGGGTAACAACATCAAGTGGTGAGCAATGTTAGGACTGAAGATTAAAGAGTCTCGATTATAGTAGCCAAAAAACAAATTGAATGCATATAAGATTCAGTACTGGTTGATGGCATCCAACATCTGGAAATTTGGTAGTCTAGAAAAAACTTCACACTTGTACGCATTATCACGACTCTCGAGATCCTTTTGACAGAAGCTACACTTGAGCCACTCTACGGTGTGCCAGTTCAAAAGCATTTGTACTATTGATATTTGAGGATGCGTACTATATTTCCTTTTACCTTTTTTTCCAGTTAAAATTTTGTCATGTAATAACTCAAAAACTCTTTACATTTATACAAATAAAAAGAGGTCTTTTCTTGTTAACTCCCTTTTTGCAAGCATCTTACTTTGAAAACTAAAAACACGTAGTTTAACTTGAAGTACGTGAGATCATTGTGTATTATTGTCCAAGAAGTCTTGGAAAAGTACATGTGTTCTGAAGCTGACAATGGTTTTAAACTGTAAGCTTGCATGATTTTGTGGTAAAGAAACTAAAACCTTGGAGTACATAGAAAGTTTCAGCCATTTGAGGAGGACCCAAAATATTTGTCACTAATCGAGTAGTTGGTCATGGGTACTGGTGGGTTAAATAAGGAAGAAAACTAAGATCATGTCTGACCAAAGAATATGGGGTTAAGATAGTCAGCTGGGATGACCCATTCATGTTTTCTGTGCCCAAGATAAAATTGAGTCACAAGATAGCCAACGAGAAAGGATTCTCATTCGAAAAAGAAAACACACTAAAATTTTGTCATTGCACACATTTTAGGCATAAATAGGATAATGACAATCATAAATACATGATGTAATTAAGTATCTACATGTTTCCCAAAACAAACCAGAAGGTTGAAGATATTGAAACCTCAAGATTGGAGTTACCAATTCAAAATCCTGAAAAACCAAAGGATTTTCAAATGACACTCGAACCAAGGCAAATTCCCATATTTGATGGCTGCAAGAGAAATTGATTTTCAAAAATTCTCTCTGATTCTAAATCTTAAGATTTGGTTTTCTTGAAGAGCAACGAAGTAAATCAAGTTCGATTCAATCTTCCCTGAAGAGCATTGAAGTGGATCAAAAATTTTCTCAAGTCTGATCTCCCCTAAAGAGTAGTGGATCAGATTCTTCTTCTTTCAGATTTGGTCTTCCTGAAGAGCAGCGAAGCAAATCAAGTTCGATTCAATCTTTCTTAAAGAGTAGTGAAGTGGATCAAAATTTTTCTCAAGTCTGATCTCCTCTAAAGAGTAGCGGAGCAGATTCTTCTTCTTTCAGATTTAGTCTTCCTGAAGAGCAGCAAAGGAAATCAAGTTCGCTTTAATCTTTTTGAAGAACAGTGAAGCAAATCGATCTTGATTCAATTTTCATTGGAGAATAGTGGAATGAGCCAATGTTTCTCGATCTGATCTACACTGGATAAACAAAGGAGAATATATCTCATCATATTTCAAAGTTTGGATTCGACTGGACGAAAAACTCACTGTCTATTCATTTTTTCTCTATTATTAACATAAGAATGGGCAAAGAAGGGCAGCTGTCGACAATGATTTTTTTCCTGATAATTTTATATTATAATTATTATTATTAAATAATTACATTTTATTTGTAGGCTCAAAGGACTCAACCCTATAGATTTGGCCCGATTACAACCTACCCCAATGTACCCAATGGGCCCAAATAATGCCCAAACTAACAGTTGGTCCAAATTCAATTGGCCCAAACCCAAACAAACACCTAGGGTTTAAAACCTTAGGTTTTCAATCGCCGTCACCACCGATGAGAGTCTCTCGCTCCCGTCACTGTTCCGGCCACCCGATCCCGTCATCTGACAGTCGTCGTTTCAACCATCATTACCTCGTATCAACAGTAAAAGAAAAACCAAATCTTCAAATAAACAACAAAACCAATTTTAAAATTAAAAAAATTCCCAAAAAATCGGGGTAAATTAATGTAAATGTAGGGAAATCATTCCCCTCAGTTCTAGCTTCAACAAAATACGTCAAGCATGGAAATATAAAGCACAAACCGAAAAGAGAGTGGGGGCATTCGGTTTAAAAAACAGAGAGAGAATGCTAGAGAAAAAAAGAAAAATAGAGAAAAAACGGAAAGTCTCACCGCCGGAACTGATCTTTCTTGCTTCGCCGGAGTTGTAAGGTTTCCAAACCTTCATTTTATTTTTCAGGTTTAGATTATTTGATGGTGGTTTTGATTTGGGTTTGGTGTTGGGTAGTTTAGGGGTTTCGAATAAGGGTGATTAGGGGATGATCGGCTGGAGAAAAATCTCATCCTCTCTCGATTGAGAGAAGGGGAAGAAAGAAAATGTGAAAAAAATAGGGGAGGTAGATCGGCTAGAGAAGAAAATGAGGGAGTTGGGTTAGCCAAAACCCTATAATAGGTTATTTATAACGCCCTAAAATCACGTAGTTTTTGGGGGTTAGGGTTTCACTGGTTTCGTGCATGGGTAAAACACGTGGGGGCCATTTCGAGTTTTAGAAAGTTCAATTTAGTCACTGAACAAGATTTTTCAATTTTATGTTTTAAGCTCTTTATTTTGCTGACTTTATATTTTAGTCAGTGTATGTATAGTTGATGTTATTTGGGTAAATTATTTGAATGAGTCTTCAAATATGTGAAATTGTAATTTTAATCCATTGAAATATGTTATGAAAGTTTATGATTTTTCCCCTATGTTCAGTGCGAATTACATTTTTGTCACCATAAGCTATGCACTTTTGATTGTTTTAATTTTTGGCATGTAATATTGAATTATTTCATTTTGGTCCCAAACATATGGGTTTATTACACTGTCAGTGCTTGTAATAGTTGATTCTTGTATTATATGCTTTGTTATTTAGTTAATTTGCAATAGTTGCCTTAATCTTGTTAGTTTTATAGTTTAATCCCTAAAGTTATCATTTTTATTATTTTAATCCTTCATTTACATGTTTGTAATTTTCTTGCTAATTCAAATATTTTCAAATATTATTTTATACGAGGAATTTATGAAAACACCCCTTAACTGACAAGGAGTGTGTTTCTAAGAATTGCTCAAATAAAATAATACCATTTAATTTTAAATAATTTTTTTATCTATTTGTTTTATCTAAAAAAAGATTTAGGGTAATATTATTTTGTACGAGGAATTCATGAAAATAAACCCTTAAGTGACTAGAAAGGTATTTTCGAGGATTTTTCGTACAAAATAATATCCCTTATATTTTTTCTAAAAAAGGATCATAATTTAAATGTACATTCAAATTTGCCAATTTCAATATTTAGATGATGTATAATCGCTTAGGTACCGATTTCGGGCGCTATGGGGTACTAATCATTCCCCATGTGTAATCGACTCTCGAACCCTTTTTCAAAATGAATTTCTGGTTAAACACATATCACTTTTTATCTTTTAAAATTATTTTTCTTAAAATTATTTTAAAAGGTATTTTTAAGTATTCGATCTACCTAACCCAAAGGTCGATGACAACTCCAAATTTATTTATTTGTTTATTTTTAAAAACCTAATATTTTCCAATATTAAGTTGGATCCCTCCTTCTAGCGCCAAAAAACTTTAAGGACGGTTCCGACAAAAATTTTCAATCGGCTTCCTTCCTCTCTTGAGAAGAGTATTACTAACTGTGTTCTATTTTCTCTATTTCGATGTACAAATATTGAAACATTTTGTTAATTTTAAGGACGACATTCACTTAACAAATATAATTATCAAAATGAAATTGCTTATTGGATAAGGTTCTTTCAATGATTATTTTTTATTTATGTTTAGTTTATTTTTCTATCAAGTTCAAACGAATTTGTTTTGGAGTAGTATATTTCCATCACCTAATCATACCTAATAAAAAATGATGAGTTCATATTTATCTTTCTATGATCTGTTGGACGCATAAGAAGTTAAAAGGTTGTTGATTCACTTGTAAGGGTAATCTTATTATATAATTACTACAATTCATTGATTTTATAAACCTGTAATTTGTCTTATCGAGTAAACCTGTTGCCTAGTGTTTCGTTTCATTCATGTGTGGAGTTGATTTTAATAAAACTTATCATTTCCTAGAAAAAAAGAAAATGAAATGATCTGAATTTGAAGAGACACTGAGATCTGTTGGAAATTCGTAAGCAAAAAAACGTAATTAATGCAATATCAACATGAAGAAAGAAATCATATTTAAATTGGATTGATATTTAAGAAGATTAAGGGCACTTGGGTCCTCCTCTCTTAGTCTTCCAGTTGTTGTAGCAAGGGCAGACTTGCTTGTTACCGTAAGTGCCAGGCGGCACACACAAGCACTTGGCGCAGCACTTGTTGCAGAAGAACAGGCATGGCTTCTTGTACTGCGTATTTGAGCATCTTTCGCTGCATCGAGGCCCACACTCTGTTTCATTGTATTTCAAACCTCAATCAAATTCAAATTACAAATGATAAAATATACCTTTAGTATCTAAACTATTACTTTTGTTAGGTTTTAATAGGGATGTCCACTTCTCGAAATTAACCTAACTAACCAGTCGAACCGAATTAGTTCGATTAAAACAGTCAGCCATTGAATTAGTTCCGTCAGTGAATTAGTTTGGTTTCTTGCAAAGAAATGAATTTCCTTTCAAATTTATTATATTCCTGATAATAGTACACTAGAGAAGCTTGTGTGTTTCACCTTGTGGAAGAAGGCTGCCTTGAGTGATTCCATGCTGGAAAAAATGAAATTACTCAATATTGTAAGAAAACATAAGGGAAAACATAAAAAATATTATTCATTGGAGATGAATTCATGATATTCATTACCATTGTAAAGTTGTTGGATGGTTGCGCCTGTGGAGTTGGTGCCTCACTGCTCATGTCATGACTGCTGCTGGCTTCCTGCGTTGGGGATTTGATCATACATCGTATTTATTGTTTAACTAAATAGAGATATATTACATTTTCCAGATAGATATCGGGATTCAAATCCACATAAAATAGGAAAATATAAATATCCTCGACCACTCGATCAATTAATAAATCTCACCCTACATCATATTCATTAATATTCTTTTAGAAAATTAGATCGTCATTCATTACATATATATTTGATATACTGATAATGTCTTATTCTATAAAATATCAGCGAATGGATGAAAACATTACATCGAGAGTTTTCGAGAAATATGTTTAAAACATTTTGGGTATAATGTAAAAAAAAAGTCTTTCAACGTTTGACTGAATAGACATTTTAGTTCATTTTTTTTTTGAAGTATTTTGGCATCAAACATTTTATTTTGGGGCAAAAAGGTCCCTTTGTAGATGATAATCGTTAGTCATCAAACAATTAACGTTCTTAAAAATAGGAGTCTTTTTATTATAAAGTAAAATGGTAGGAGCCAAAATGCTCAAAATAGAAAAAATAGAGACTTAAGTGATTATTTAGTTAGACTTTAGAATGTTTTTGCCCTAAAATGAAACATTAGAGTCAAAATACACCCAAAGAAAAGAATAGATGTCAAATTAATTGTTTAGTCAAACGTTAGGAACATTTTTTTTTTTACATTATGCATTTGATTTACCAATAGAATTCGACTATAAATTTGAAATAAGAAAGAATGCAAGAGGCGAAGAGAAAGAAATGAAGCCTTACATTTTTGTGTGCTAGTAAAAGCAGCGTGATAGTAAGAAAGGTCATCGTGATAGTTGGCTTCCCGGCCATTGGGACTTAGTAAAATACAATGCAACGCAACTGCTAGAGAGAATTTGTGGTCGAAGTGAAGCAGATGAGAAAGGGGACTATTTATAGGCAGTTGGAAACTCCCCCCATGTGGCTGACGATCTGCAGAATTTTACGCTTTGTTTTATCCATCTAAAAGGTCCCCATTGATGCTGTAGTTCGTTGCTGGCCCTAGGTACGCGTATACATATAACTCTTTTCTAAACATTAGAGCTGTCGATTATTACTAAATTACATTTTTTATATAAAATAGAAATAGTTAATTTTATTAAAAAAATATAGTATCCAACTTCGGAATAAACATATAATTAGGATATTCTTGTAACCATTAACAAAAAAAATTAGCCTCTTGAAATCATATGACTATACAAAGAAAAAAAAATAAAAAAATCATCTAAAAACTCAAAAAAAAAGATAGAGACACAAATCTGATTGTATCGAAAAATGAACTATAACAAGGGATCAAACCATTGAACGATCATCGACAATTGTAAATCAGAGTCGAGCGTAGTGAGAAAACTATATTCGAACGCAAACCTTGTATCCAAATCTTATTCGAGGGTCCAAAGCATAGAAGATCAATGGGATAACAAGTAAGTGTCATCTTGATGAGTCATGACGCCGTCAAATTCAACTCTGAGGAAATTAAATGAAAAAATGAGTCAAGTGACTGCAAATGTGTCAAAAGGTAAAGAAAAACGTATCATGAAGACAGACGAAAGCGTGTCATAGAGGTAAAGTCATTGGAAATTTAAAAAATAAAAAAGGAAATAATATATGATGCCATATAAGAAAATAAATAATAAAAACAGAGAATACAGACCGTCGACGATCAACATCAAAATTAGTGTTGTGGCATGTCAAACAAAGAAGAAAGGAAAGGAACAAGAAGCAAACTATTAGAGAATTGTTTTTAGGGTTTTTAATAAATTACAAATCTAAATACGATTACATCAAATACGGGAATATGAACCATATAATAAATATTAGAATGTCCAAATTTGATTCCCAACCATGTGAATATATGAAAACGACAAGAGAGCGACCCTTACATGTGAACTCACATGTCTGTTTGGTTTTGTGTGATAAAAATGGGTCTCAAAGTTCCAACAGACACAAACCAAGGCAACAGAGAAGATGAAAAGAAACCAATGCTTCTACCACAGTCCTACACGTACACAACTATCACTTGTCACTCCTAACTCTTTGTCGTTTAGACTTTGATTTTCAGCCAAATTTCTTACCCTATCCGATTCTCGTGACTCATATGCTGTTGCTTCTTGGTTCTTTAGGGTTCATGTATAGTTGATCTTGGAAATTTAAGAAAGATAAGAGGAGCAGTTGCCTCTGCCTCAGCCGTTCATCCTGCCCATTGGATTAGGCCTTAGCTACCAGTTATCTGTTTATTTATTTATGTACACACAGTCTCGTGAACAATATATGTGTGGTGGAGCCGAGCCTATTGTATATCTGTTTGTAGGGATAAGTATTCGATTGGTTTGAGTCTAATCAAGTACAATCGAGTTTACAACCACTATTTTATCATTCAAATTTTGTTTTAATTTTTTAAGTCAAGTCAAAATAAATATATTTGTTCGATTTTTTATTCAAATTTAGATATGAGTACTTATATGTTATGATACTGATTTTGTTTTCAATTTAAACAAATCTCGCTAACCATATATGATATACATATATATTTTTATGATACTGATTTTGTTTTCAATTTAAACAAATCTCGCTAACCATATATGATATACATATATATTTTTCATATTCAACTTAATGTGTATGCAAGATTTATAATGTTATGTAATAAATTAAAGGGTAAACTACATGTTTAGTACTTAAACTATTACTTTTATTCCATATTAGTACTTAAACTTTATTTTGTTTCAAAATCATGCCTAAAGTTTAGTTCAGGTTTCATTTTGGTACCCCACTGTTAAAAACTTAACATAAATCCTGACGTAGAACAATAAGATAATGCCACATCATCACTAAAAAAAAAAAAAATACCATTTTAGTAGTTATGTTAAGTTTCTAACCATGGTGGTTCCAAAAATGAAACATAAACTAAGCATTAAGTACGATTTTGAAACAAAAAAAAATTTAAATTCAAAAAATGGTATTAGTTTAAGTACTAAACGTATAATTTTCCATGAATTAAATACTATCTAAAACTATAAAATATATTTTAATTTTAAAGGAAAAATTTGAGAAAAATATTTTTTTATTAAGTGATTACAAAGTAGTATATGTTCTCAATACTCCCAACTATTTGACAATGAATGTTCAATTACCTTGCTACAGTCACTGATGCTCAAACCCTAGACCTCTAAGAATAACAACCATTCCTTTAACCATTGAGGTAATTTTGTTTGTGCAAGAAAAAAGTATTGATACAAGTATAAAGGAGTCAAGAAATTGATGAGAAAATAAGAGTTGTAGTCGAAGGACCAAATTAAATAAAAGGTAAAGTTAATGGATTGAATCACAAAATTAGGAAATGTGGTTTTAAAAGATTAATTTAAGTTGATTCAAAGTTACACTCATATTCTACAATGATTTAAGAGCATGTGGTTAGAGGTGGCAAACGAGTTGTTCGGATCGGGCCATTTCAGATAGGATCATTTTGGGTTTAGACTTGATTTGGGTCGGGTTTGATTTGGTTTGGATTATTTTAGGTTATAATTTAGTATTGTCTGTGGTAAGTCAGGTCAAGTCAGGTCAATATTACATGAATTGATTTTTACTTCAGGTTGATATCAGATTAGTTGATTTTCGAGTCGGATCCATGTCAAATCGATCAATTTTTGAGTCAATTCAACACTAGATCAATTGATTTTAGGGTCTGGTCAATATCAGATCAATCGTTTTAGGTTTGAGTCATCCTTAGATCTTCGAGTCAAATCAGATTGAGTTGGGTAAGAGTCAAAGTAGATATATATATATAGAATTATTAACATATTATTGTAAAAAATATATGTCTTTTTTGTCATTCTTATCATTTATGCTAATTTTTATTCGAATTCAATCATCATTTAGGAATAATAATTTAACTCAAACCCATCTATTAAGACGTGTTAGAGTTTGTGGCACATTGTTTACTGATCAAGGCTAAAAACTTTGTGGTGTTATCTATTTGATAAAAATAAAATAAAATTTTCAATTATAAATTTTATGATCAATTAAAACTTTAAACTATAACGTTTAATTATAAATATAATATTTTTATCATTTAAAAAAAATAATAACATAGTAATTATACATGAATAAATATTAGTATAAATAGTTTTATAATTGATATTATATCATCAATAATATTTTAATGTTAAATCATAAAAATAAATATTTTTATATTGTAAAAATAAGTTATTTATATTGAGTTTAAATAATTGTATTTTATCATATATGGAAAAATTAAAATGATTTGGAAATTAATTTAATATCTTTGGAAAGTTATATTGTAACACCCTATACCAGTACGGCACACAGTAGACCGATAAAATATAATTTAAACTTTATATCAGGGTCTTTATACGGAACCACCGGAGTGGCTAATCAATTGTTCTCATTAACTCTGACTTTAAAACAACCATTTTCATAAGAAAATCAACCATAAAATATAATTTAAACTTTATATCGGGGAAGCTCCCAAAAATAAGTATATACATTCAAAATAATATAGACGTACTCTGATTTGCACTTGACCTGGACCTCGGTCACTCTACATCTCCTTAACTGCTCCACCTAATCTGCTTAAAGAAACAAATTTCAAACACTGAGCTAACTAGCTCAGTGCCACACTAACAACTAGAACATACTAAAAGTGTATCATTAAAATGCTCTAGCTATCAAGTCTATTGCATTACTGAGTATACTTGTATACTCACTCTCTACTCTATGGTAGACATCATGGTGCAACTGAGGGTTATGTATCTCGGAGCTCCACAGACCCCTTAGTCTACAGAGGATGATTGCTCAAAATCTCTGTATCGGTCAAGACCCTCGACTAAACCACCCATTGTGAGTGTCAGGCCTTAGCCCTAGTTAGTCAACTTAAAGTGCCTTACGCACTCCCTAAGGATGTCCAGACTAATTATATACTTTCGATACTTCTATCTTTTCTAGAGGAACTCGGGTGTCATGATCGTTTCCTGAGCATTCAAACAAGGCTTGTCTTATTTCACCTACTTTATATTGTTTCTACGTTTGAATTAAACATTATTATTGTTCTTACTTGTAGTCTTATTTTTGAGAAATTATAATCTTTTTGGGAAACCTCATATCTTCTTAAAGCTTTCTTGAATTTACTTCCCAAAAACATACCTCGATTTTGATACTAGCCTCTCAGTATCGATACCACCACTGTAGTATCGATACCCTAGAAATTTTATCTTATAACAAAAGAGAAGTATCGATACTCCTATGGGGAGTATCGATACTCAACCCTGGGTATCGATACTCCCTTAGAATACCAATACCAAAATTGTATTATGGATTTCTGGTTTCGATACCAAGCCCCTCGGTTTCGATACTGAACCCTCAGTATCGATACTCCTTTAAGGGTATCGATACTGCACTTTAAAAACTCTCGAGTTAAGCTTTCCTTATGAACATTATCGATATTCTTTATACAATATCAATACCGACTTTAAAAATACCCTATTTGGTCGCGAATTTGCTCTTTAAATTTCCCAAATTTCATACCTTAAGGTTTCCCAATTGTTATTGAAGTTTTATGTGATCATAGGGGTCATAAACAAGGCTTGAAAAAAATGCCAACAACATCAATTATAACATATTTCTAATGACTCACCATTGATATGAGGAAGTTGTGAGTGTGTTACCTGATTTCCTTTACTGCTAAAACCCCTCCCAAATCATCTAGGAGTCACTTTTTCTTTACCCCTTGTTTTAGAACTTTCTCCCACTTTTTTTAGCTAATCAAAGGTAAAACTAGGAGTTACTAACTTGTCTAGAGCTTGAATTCCTTAAACCGCTTAAAAACCCAATTTTGAAATCTTAACCAAAACTTGAGATTTGGGGCTTGAAATAAAGCTTGAGGAATAGAGATTAGGGTTCTTACCTTGGTTGATTCAAACTAAATTTGAAAGTACTTAAGCTTTCACCTTTAA